CACCTTCACTTTCGTTTCCACTTTTACTTTCACTGATTTCAATTTCCTCGGTTAAATTATCTTCCCTTCCGGTGATTATGATTTTCCTTCTCATGGTAATGTTTGTCATGGAAATGGTTGCTATGGTACCGGTTGTGTTATGGTACCGGTTTCTATGGTACGGTTTTTGTATGGTTCCGGTTTTGCTATGGTACCGGTTTCTATGGTACGGTTTTGGTATGGTTCCGGTTTTGCTATGGTACCGGTTGCAGTGGTACCGGTTACTATGGTACCGGATATTGTGGTACCGGTTTTCGAATGGTACTGATTTCTATGGTACCGGTTTGGCTATGGTACCGGTTTTGGTATGGTACTGGTTTCTATGGTACCGGTTTGGCTATGGTACCGTTTTGGTATGGTTCCGGTTTTGCTATGGTACCAGTTTCTATGGTACCAGTTTTACTATGATACCGGTTACTATGGTACTGGTTTTGGTATGGTCCTGGTTTCTATGGTACCGGTTTGGCTATGGTACCAGTTTCTATGGTACCGGTTTTACTATAGTACTGGTTACTATGGTACCGGATACTATGGTACCGGTTGCAGTGGTACCGGTTTTGGTATGGTACTGGTTTTTATGGTACCGGTTTGGCTATGGTACCAGTTTATATGGTACCGGTTTTACTATGGTACTGGATACTGTGGTACCGGTTGCAGTGGTACCGGTTTTGGTATGGTACTGGTTTCTATGGTACCAGTTTTGCTATGGTACCAGTTTTTATGGTACCGGTTTTACTATGGTACCGGATACTATGGTACCGGTTTCTATGGTACCGGTTTCTATGGTACCGGTTTTGATATGGTTCTGGTTTTTCTATGGTTTCTATGGTCCTTTAGAGAGGAAAGTGAAAATGGAATATTACATAATCGATCCCTCATAATGCTATCAGCCTATATTTTCTCTTAAACAAAAATTCAGTCACGTAAAATTGTTTTGTAAAAGAGAATCGATATTGAGAAGTAAAAATTAGAATAAAAGGAAAAATTCTGAATAATAGGAAATTCCTTTTGTCATTCGGTCACCCTAAATTCGATCGCGTGCAACCTTCAAGCGATAAACGTATTTGGGTCACTGCCTTAATATCATATCTGCATGTCTACCACCTTCGTTCTAAATATTCGTATAATTTTTTTTTTTTTTCATTACCTTCTTCTTATATCAAACTGTAATTATTTGTCACCTTTATATGATGAATCGTTACTAAAATTAACTTTCTAATATATACTTTAATATACATTTATATGTATACTTGTATATAGTTCCATATAATAACATATATATTCTAAAAGTTTATCTCTAATCTTTATTCACAAAACCAGGTTATATTGTAAGTCACGCGAAAATTTCGAATTTAATTAAAAAAGAACTTTATAGAGGTATTAAATTAAAAATAAGTTCTTCTCTTTTAGATTTTTAGTCTTAAATTAATTTTCAGCATGCAATTACAGATTTTTGTTTAATTTCCAAAAAAAAAAAATGGTACAGAAAACACGTGTTTTTTTATGGAAAACAAGAGGATATTGACCTTAAGGGACTTGAATTCTATTCCCCTAAGTGATTACACACAACCGAATATTATCTTCAAAGGTAAACCCGGCAGGACACTTCCTTATCTTGTTCAAACTTAAGGGTCGGAGGTATATTCCTCGAAAGGCTAAATCGTTTTATCATGAATTTTATTTGTACATATAAACAATGATGTGTGGAACATTGATCTGAGACAAATTTTTATATTTACTCTAAAAAATAAATAGTAAATTTCTGTTTTTTTTTTAAAAAAAAAGGGTTTTATTCTTCGTTGAACGATAAATGGAAAATAGCCTCAAGGACATAGAATACTATTCGAGCCATTGAATTCACCACTGCAAAGGAAAAGAAAGCAGAAGTAAAGGAAGAGGAAATTCACTACGGGTTCAAGTTAGATTAGGAGAGATAGAAAGAGACTCGCACACACTTGTTGGCTTTGAAACTCAAAAAAAAAAAGAAGAAGAGAGGAGAGAAAAGAAAAGGTGCGACGGAAATGAAATCATTGGCTGAAGAGAGGAAAAAAATCCGCCATTCACATTTTAACCTCTATGCTCTAAATGGCTGGTTTTAGATTATGATCGGTATTAAGCTGTCAAGGGTTGCTTTTTTGAATTCCACTGTCAGAATTTAATCCCATTCTTCAAAATGACCACTTCCACACGCAGAGGGAAAAAAAGAGAGAGAGAGAGAGGACTGAATGAACGTTGAGCGAAAGCTGTGTTTACGCTAGGTTTGTGACTCCTTCATAATCCCTTTCCCTCTCTCTTCTCTCTTGTCCTATCGAGCGTGAGCGCTTCTCATCTTTTCAAACGCCTAGGCTCACGTTTAGCATATATACATTCTCTGTACGATCCCCTTTTGCGGGTCGGAACTTTTTTTTTTTTTTTTTTTTCCTCTTTGTGCCGCGTGTTTTTTTTTTCAACCCTCTCCCCTCTCATAAACCTTCAGGTATTTATCAACGCAGACGCATCATGCATATTCGACATGGCAATTTAACGCCAAAACCCAAATGCGCTTTTCAAACACAGCCGAGCGGAAACTTACGACCCGAGAGTGATGATAAACTGAAATTGTCATTCTTTAGATTGGGGTTTTATATGCTAATTAATTGCAGTCTGTTGTTTAATTAAAAAATAAATTTCGCGCAAAAACGAATTTTGTGATTCTGAATGGCGTATAAATATGGAGAAAGTTTTAGTTGACAAGATTTTAGCATGGATTTTAGAATTGAAAATTTTGATTTCATGATGCGGAAATTTTGAATTTTTTATTGATTTGGAAACTGTTTCTGAACATGTCTAAATCTGCAACTGATTTGGAAGCTGATTTTGAAACTGTTTTTGAATATATCTAAATCTGCAACTGATTTGGAAGCTGATTTTGAAACTGTTTCTGAACATATTTAAATCTGCAACTGATTTGGAAGCTGATTTTGAAACTGTTTCTGAACATATCTAAATCTGCAACTGATTTTGAAACTGATTCTAAAGCTGATTTTGAAACTGATTTGTGAAACTGTTTCTGAACATATATCTAAATCTGCAACTGATTTTGAAACTGATTCTAAAGCTGATTTTGAAACTGATTTGTGAAACTGTTTCTGAACATATCTAAATCTGCAACTGATTTTGAAACTGATTTTGAAATTAATTCTGAAGCTGATTTGTGAAATTGTTTCTGAACATATATCTAAATCTGCAACTGATTTTGAAACTGATTCTAAAGCTGATTTTGAAACTGATCTGTGAAACTGTTTCTGAACATATATCTAAATCTGCAACTGATTTTGAAACTGATTCTAAAGCTGATTTTGAAACTGATCTGTGAAACTGTTTCTGAACATATATCTAAATCTGCAACTGATTTTGAAACTGAATTGTGAAACTGTTTCTAAACATAATTCTGCAATTGATGCTAAAATTAATTTTATTTGTAATTGATCCACAACTTTTACAACTCGATCTTTTTGGATGATCTTCTTTATCCTAGAGCCAATCCTAAAAACAGTTTCTATTAACAGATTCTACAATTAAAATTCTACCAACAAATATTTACAAAAATACTATTACTAAAAAATACTTTCAAAAAGCATATAACTCAAACAACAATAATATTTCTCAAGTTTCATTAATTCCAAACAAAATTCTCTTTGTTTTCCATTCAAAGAATCAGTATATACCAATCAATAAAATATTGAAACAACCTCCAAGCACGAAAGGCGGAACTTTGGGCATATGTGTTTTAATGTTTTTCCATCTCTCTCTCTCTATATATATATACTGCAAAGAAACGACCGCAAGTGAATCCTCGCAGATGGTATGGTATTTCGTTTGAAAAATATAGGTCCAACATCAACACGAAGAGTTGTGTTCGAGAAGTCCCCAGAGACTAACAAGGGCGAGAGAAAGAGAGAGAGAGAGAGAGAGAGAGTGAATATAAGGATATATTCAACTGGGGTGGCAAACGGGGTGGTTTGGTACTCTGGGTATATAGAAAATACAGAACCGTCGATCTCCCAGCGGGTAAAGCTTGCAGCTTACGGATGTAAGCTTCTCTCGCTGTACTATACTGCCCATCTCTTTCGTCCTCGAAGGCTTTTGCCAAATCTCCGCTCCATGGATGCATTTCTCATGTTGGCGTCTGGCTCTCCCGATGAAATAGCCTTTAATCTTTGAATATACAGAAAAGCAGTATTAATGCTTTTATATCGTTCATATAGACGCTTTTCTACACACATATAATATAAATTGTTTTATAATCTCGATAAGAAAAAAAAAAAAACGAAAATTTATTTTTTCCTCCTCTGCATAAAATGAGTATTTAATCGTTCTAATGATCGATCGAGTGTCATATATATATATACTGGCGATATAATCACTAAATTCACATTTTCGAACCCTAACGAAAAAAGATAAATGAATTCATCAGGATTAGGCAAAAATATTTTTTTTTTTACATTAATTAAACTTAAATGGAAATAAAGAATTTTAAGCCTCTTTGAAGAAAAAGAATTGCATACAGAATCTGGTGGGGGGGGGGAAAATAATATCTCCTTTGACAGACACATCAAAGAAGAAGGCATTTTTCAATACAAACTGTTATCATCTTATTGCTATACATTTCTTTATCTTGTTATTCTTTCTCAAAAGCAATTATCTCAAGAAAAATATTTTATCGACTTTACCTTCGCTTTTGCAGTATAAAATATACAAACTGTCCACTAAAGTTCGTGAGAGACGGAAAAGTATCTTAATTAAGAAACGTTCGAATCGTCCTCAACATTTTTTTTTTTTCGAATACTTTTTTTTATGTCTGAAAAGTTATTTATGAAAACTGAAACAGATTTATATATAAATCTTCTAAAGAACTTATTTTTAATACGTAAAATTAAAATATAAAAATTAGTAAATAGTAAATTTTTTTTTTTGTACAGAATTCGGAAATCAAAGAAAGGATTTTTGCGAATCCAGTTGAAATTTGTCGACAGTTTTCCTTCAGTGGAGAATCTAATAACTACTTGGAAGTATCGACGAAGGAGTAGGCGATAAGTCGAGAAGCAAGGAGAGAATGAACTTCACAGATATCCGTTAATTGGGTATCGACTTGGACCAAGAGAGGCGGAAAAGACTGATCGTGAGATGCCCGCGTACTGTGAAAAAAAGGAATCGGAAATAAGATTTCTCGTCCCTCAAGAGACAGGTAGGTCGATATTTTTTTTATATATATATATAGAATTTATATTGTATTTTCTATGATGGTAAGAAAAAGCATTTTTTTTTATAAGAAAAATGAGTTTTTTCATATATATATGTACGTATATATATCTGAAACAAGTGAGAGTCGGTGAGCATGCTAATTTTCACAAACGGCCTTACTCTTTAAATTCGCTTTTCTGCCTACCGCGAGGTGCACCTCGCTTATTTTGTGCCGGAAACGCAACGTTGGCACGCGAAACTCGCAGATTTTGCCAAACCACCATTTCATGTTAAATCCCCGTTCTGTGGTTGCAATTTCATTTTTATACGCAATATATTTTACTCTTGAGGTTAAAATTCGCGTCTTTACAATATATATAGCCTTAAATTATTTGCAAGTGTTATTGTGAAATTTTTTTTAGAGGAGAGTTAGTTTTACAAGAAAAAAAAGAAAAGCCGTAAATTTGCGTTAATGCTATCTTCAGCTTATGACTGAAAAATTAACCTTAAGTTCTGAGCCAGAAGCGAGTTGTGAAGTTAGCTAGGAGTAAGACCTAAGCCAGAAGCGAGCCTTGAAGTTTGGCCTAAGTAAGTCCTGAGCCGGAATTTAGCTTTGAGCGGTAATCAAGCCTTGAAGTTAGCTACAAGTGATTCCTGAGCCAGAAGCGAGGCCTGAAGCTAGCTAGGAGTTAGTCCTAAGATAGAAGAGAGCCTTATAGTAGCTTTATAGTTAGCCTTGAGCCAAAAGTGAGTCTTGAAGTTAGCTAGGAGTAAGGCCTGATCCAAAAACGAGTCCTGAAGTTAGCTAGGAGTAAGGCCTGATCCAAAAAAATGTACTAAAGTTAGCTAGGAGTAAGGCCTGATCCAAAAACTAGTCCTGAAGTTAGGATTGAGTAAGGCCTGATCCAAAAACGAGTCTTGAAGTTTACTAGGAGTAAGGCCTGATCCAAAAACTAGTCCTGAAGTTAGGATTGAGTAAGGCCTGATCCAAAAACGAGTCTTGAAGTTTACTAGGAGTAAGGCCTGATCCAAAAACTAGTCCTGAAGTTAGCTAGGAGTAAGACCTGATCCAAAAACGAGTCCTGAAGTTAGGATTGAGTAAGGCCTGATCCAAAAACGAGTCCTGAAGTTAGTTAAGAGTAAGACCTGATCCAAAAACGAGTCTTGAAGTTTACTAGGAGTAAGGCCAGATCCAAAAACTAGTCCTGAAGTTAGCTAGGAGTAAGACCTGATCCAAAAACGAGTCCTGAAGTTAGTTAAGAGTAAGGCCTGATCCAAAAACTAGTCCTGATGTTAGCTAGGAGTAAGACCTGATCCAAAAACGAGTCCTGAAGTTAGCTAGGAGTAAGACCTGATCCAAAAACGAGTCCTGAAGTTAGTTAAGAGTAAGGCCTGATCCAAAAACTAGTCCTGATGTTAGCTAGGAGTAAGACCTGATCCAAAAACGAGTCCTGAAATTAGGATTGAGTAAGGCCTGATCCAAAAACGAGTCCTGAAGTTAGTTAAGAGTAAGACCTGATCCAAAATCGAGTCTTGAAATTTACTAGGAGTAAGGCCTGATCCAAAAACTAGTCCTGAAGTTAGCTAGGAGTAAGACCAGTCCAAAAACGAGTCCTGAAGTTAGGATTGAGTAAGGCCTTATCCAAAAACGAGTCCTGAAGTTAGTTAAGAGTAAGACCTGATCCAAAAACGAGTCTTGATGTTTACTAGGAGTAAGGCCAGATCCAAAAACTAGTCCTGAAGTTAGCTAGGAGTAAGACCTGATCCAAAAACGAGTCCTGAAGTTAGCTCTGAGCCCTTTTTCATCTACCTAATTGTTTTCCACACCTACAATTCTCTTCAACAATTTTATCAATAAATACAAAAGTTTCTCGTAATGAAATCGAATGTACCATGACTGTTTTTTTTATCTAAAAAAGACACGACATTCTTGATTATTGTCTCTCGACTATTATATAAATTCGTTTTCTCGTTTGTAGGCGTGCAAGAGGCGTTATAGCGCAGGTTGCGGCTAGGGAGTTATATACATCAGGAGTGTATTGCCCTTCTCCTTCCTCTTGCCTCTTTCCCCCAAGGTACAACCACCCACCCCATTCCTGGCGCGTTCAAGCTCCCTCAGCCCTCCGACGTGTCGTATCGGATATTCTGGGTATTGATAAAATAATGAGTGCATTATTAACTCGGCTTAGCTCCACGTGGGGTGATGGTGGTGGCTGTGGTGGTAATGTAATATCTGCTGGCATGCGAGGCAATTGCACGCACACTAACACACACCATTAGAAAAGAAAATAAAAAAAGAAAACCTTGTATTTATAAACGTATATAAGTCACGACATTAATTTGCAAAAAGAAAAATTGCGATACAATTTGTATAATTTATAATTTTATTTTGAAAACTAAATTTTCGGTTAGATGTATATTAGGATTTTGGATATAAAATGAATTTAGTTACAAAAGTGAAATGTACTAAACGGTTGCTAATTAATTAAATAAACAAATCGACGCAGTTGTGAATTAGTTAAAATTAATTTAAATTAAGAAATCTGTAACTTAATTCTTTATTTAATTACCACTTGACAGTAATAATATAATTGCTCCTTTTTATAATTATGAATAAACCCAACCAAATGGTATTCTTAGTTTAAAAAGGGAAGCCATGGGAAAACAAGTGAGGCGCATACTTAGCGGGGGGGGGGGTGTTGTATGGAAAGACGTGAGGGTATTCTATGCATGCCTGGGTTATATTGATCTCAAACGCACTAGTGCGTGCGTGTCAAAATTGCACACCCTCTATACTATATATATTATTTTGCTCATCTTTCACCTTTTTAGCTTCATTAAAACTCATTTATTTCATGCTTAAATTTTTTCGAATCAATAATCTCATTTTCTATTGTCTTTTATAAATATTCTTTGAGATTGTCAACTTTCCCCCTCGAGCAGCCTTGCGGTGTCTTAAAACACCGATAAATTGTCTCTCGTGACATTAATGTCATACAGTTGGGCATAAGGGTTTTTTTTTCTCTCTAAAAAAAAATTACCTAGATAAGCCCCAAGCGCCTTCATTTCCTGTTTAATGACATCAGAAAACATGGGGGGTGAAAGTCATTTGGAATCCCTAATGTACTTGGAATAGTAAAAATGATGATGATGATATAGTGAATAAATAATTCAATTAAACAAAAAGGATCTTTAACAATACCCCCCAAAAAAATTTGTTATCGTTGTTTAATATTTATATCAGTTTTTTTTGATAATGTTGAAACTATATAATGAATGAATTTATGAAGAAAAATAAATTTTACTTGGAATTAAAATTTTGTTTGGTCAAAATTTTATTGTTTTTAACAACAAATTTGTATTGTTGTAACAATACGTCCGTCCGCCAGTCGTACACTCGTACAGTTTCCATAGTAACAATTACCATAGCAACCGGTACCATAGCAACCAGTACCATAGCAAAACCGGTACCATAGACACCGATACCTTAGCAAAACCGCTATCATAGCAAAACCAGTAGCATAGCAAAACCGGAACCATAGTAACCAGTACCATAGTAACCGGTACCATAGCAAAACTAGTACCATAGCAAAACCACTACCATAGTAAAACTGGTATAATAGCAAAACCGGTATCATACCAAAACCGGTACCATAGCAACCAGTACCATAGCAAAACCAGTACCATATCAAAACCGGTACCTTAGCAAAACCAGAAGCATAGCAAAACTGGAACCATAGTAACCAGTAGCATAGCAAAACCGGTACCATAGAAACCGGTACCTTAGCAAAACCAGTAGCATAACAAAACCGTAACCATAATAACCAGTACGACAGCAAAACCGGTACCATAGCAAAACTAGTACCATAACAAAACCAGTACCATAGCAAAACTGGTACCATAGCAAAACCGGTACCATAGCAATTAGTACCAAAGCAAAACCGGTACCATATCAAAACCGGTTCCATAGAAACCGTTACCTTAGCAAAACCGGGACAACAGCAAAACTAGTACCATAGCAAAACCAGTACCATAGCAAAACTGGTACCATAGCAAAACCAGTACCATAGCAATTAGTACCATAGCAAAACCGGTATCATACCAAAACTGGTACCATAGCAATCAGTACCATAGCTAAACCGGTACCATAACAGTCGGTACCATACCAAAACTGGTACCATAGCAACCGGTACTATACCAAAATCGGTACCATAGAAACTGGTACCATAGCAACCAGTACCATAGCAAAACAGGTACCATAACAAAACAGGTACCATAGCAAAACCAGAACCATAGTAACCAGTAGCATAGCAAAACCGGTACCATAGAAATCGGTACCTTAGCAAAACCAGTAGCATAACAAAACCGTAACCATAATAACCAGTACGACAGCAAAACCGGTACCATAGCAAAACTAGTACCATAACAAAACCAGTACCATAGCAAAACTGGTACCATAGCAAAACCGGTACCATAGCAATTAGTACCATAGCAAAACCGGTATCATACCAAAACTGGTACCATAGCAATCAGTACCATAGCAAAATTGGTACCATAACAGCCGGTACCATACCAAAACTGGTACCTTAGCAACCGGTACTATACCAAAACCGGTACCATAGAAACCGGTACCATACCAAAACAGGTACCATAGCAAAACCAGAACGATAGCAACCAGTACCAAAGCAAAACCGGTACCATATCAAAACCGGTTCCATAGAAACCGTTACCTTAGCAAAACCGGAAAACAGCAAAACTAGTACCATAGCAAAACCAGTACCATAGCAAAACTGGTACCATAGCAAAACCAGTACCATAGCAATTAGTACCATAGCAAAACCGGTATCATACCAAAACTGGTACCATAGCAATCAGTACCATAGCTAAACCGGTACCATAACAGTCGGTACCATACCAAAACTGGTACCATAGCAACCGGTACTATACCAAAATCGGTACCATAGAAACTGGTACCATAACAACCAGTACCATAGCAAAACAGGT